ATTGAAAAGCTTAAGAACCATGGTTCTAGAAAAATCTGACCTCGGGGTACCTGGGTGGCTGAGTTGGTTAAGCATTCAGCTTTTGATTCTGACTCAGATTATGATCTCCTGGTTCTCTCTCCCTTTCTCTCCCTTTCTGTGTGCCCCTCCTCCCCTCAAAAAAACAAAATAAATAAAATAAACATTTAGAAAAATCTGACCTCATTTTACTTCTAGCCTCTTCTTACCAAGGATGAAACTTAATCCTTGCAACAGCTCTTGAAGGAAGACACAGATGGAGAAAAGAGGCTCAGAGGTAAATCACCTTGTCCAGAGGCTGCCAGCCCCAGCACACTTCCACTGTCGGCTCAGAAGTCAGAATTAGTTCCCTCGCCAGTTCTAAATCAATCACTGGAAAGGAGATGAGATCCATGATTGATTTAGACAGGTTGCTTAGGGATAATGGATGTTGGGGTGTCAACCACAGATTGTCCATTCTCTTTATAAATGACAAGTCCGTGCAATGAAATGGCCAAAGAGAGGTGCACTATCTCATTATGGATCAGACCATTCCCGGTGGCTACAACAGTCCTCAACCCGCGGTATTAACTGTCACGGATCACCGAGGAGCTGGGACCCAGGTGCTGCAGCCCAGGACCCTATAATGTAGCCTCTGTGTACCTCCTCCGCCTTCTCCGGACAGCTGGGCTTGGTGCTTTTACAATTGCTGGCCATATCTAAGTCCTTTTAATACAATTCTAATTGATTTCTTAATGTCATTGCCTCGGCATGCAAATCTATAGCTGTTGACTCTTCCCACAACAGCATGAAAGGTTGTAATTTTCCAGAGCATCCGTTCAGTTGAAGCAATGGTCAAGTTTCCACTTCCTGAAGGCACATTCAGAGGCAAGAAAACTGTGTTTACTGTGAAGAAAAATTAGCATCAATCATAGGTTGTACTAAAAGTCAGCTGACTGATTTAGGAAAGCTAATACACGCAAATATTTGTTTGGGTTCTCAGGGCTCAATGCAAAGCTGGAGACACTTAACTTTTATTCTAAAGGAGCCTCTCTGGAATAATGATTGATGTACTGAAGTTCTTCCAAAGCTCAAACCCAGAGCAAGGCCGCCCGGCCACAGACTGCTTCTCCAGACTTCTCACGGTGTTATTTCTGGAGGAGCTGTGGCATTGGTAACTCAGGGCACACACTGATCTGTAAGCAGAGGCCTGGTCTGCGGACTGGGGGGAGGGGGCACTGAGAGGCAATAGAGCCAGAGGCTAAGACCTCAGGTCTCAGCTTTGCCACTTAGTGTTGAGTGCCTTTGGGCCTTTTGCCCTGACCATGCCTCAGTTTCCCTGCTGTGAACCAGGAATAATAAATAATAATAGTGTGCACTTCCTGGGTTGTCGTGAGCATATGTAGAGCTCATAGAATGATGTGCAGCATATGACGAGGGATGTGTGTGTGTTTACTATTATTATTATCCCTCTGGGATTGAGGCCGGCAGGGTGAACCAGCGAGGTGGGTATGGGGGTGTGGGGTCGGACTTGGAGACAGATGCTAGGGAAAGACGCGGGAAGCCCAGGGCTTGGTCACGCCCCCGGGGTTGTTGGTGCTTGTCCAGTGCTTGGGAGTGTGATGGGTGTGAACACGCACTTGTGGAAGAGAAATTTCATCTCCCGTGGCCCCTACTAAGCCCGTCAGGAAACTTGTCACACAATTGGCTTTCCCTGTGCAGATAGCTTTTTTTTTTTTCTTAGATTTTTTTTTTTCAAAAATTGTAAATGTTTATTTATTTTGAGAGAGAGAGCATTAGCAGGGGAGGCGCAGAGAGAGAGGGAGAGAGAGAGAATACCAAGCAGGCTCTGAACTGACAGCGCAGAGCACCACAGGGGGCTCAATCTCACAAACCTCAGGATCATGACCTGAGCCAATAACAAGAGTCTGACGCTCAACCGACTGAGCTACCCAGGCGCCCCTAGATTTTATTTTCTTCAAGTAACCTCTACACCCAACATGAGACTCAAACTTATAACCCTAAGACTAAGAGTCACAAGCCCCATCAACTGAGCCAGCCAGGTGCCCCAAAGATGGCTTTGGATAAAAACGAGTTGCCCTGCCAAGGAAACCCACCCTCCGATTATGAATACGTATACCAGAAAACGTATGAAATAGAAGGAACCCAGCCGATTAAAATGCCCTCAGATTTGATTTGCACAGGGTTCTAAGTGTTGTGCTCCTCAGCATGGAGAGATTAACAAGCAAGGAGGTTGAATGGAGATCTTTGTACTTCGACCCAACTGTTTGTTACCAGAGGGTCTGTGGGTTTGGTCTGATGCCTAGACCCACAGATGCAGACGGAGAGACATGCAGCTGGCGCGGCGCGATGTGGGGTTTATTTACTGAGTGGGCTTGGGCCGCAACTGGAGCACAGCACAAATCTGTGACTCAGACCCTTGTTGCTGCTGGCAACTCCCCTGGGTGACCCCCCAGGCTGTGTGCTCCCCATCTTGTGCTCACCATGGCAACCCTTCATAACCCACAGGTCGATGACCTGGGATTAGCTGAGGAGCTGATTTCAGGGCTTGGCCACTGGGGACAGCCTGACCCCAGTGAGCAAAGCTTTCCCCCGTAAATAGCCATATGCTCTATGTGTGGGGCACGGGGGAAGAGAGGCAGCAGGCTTCTGTCAGAGCCTTGAGGGCCCTAGAGGGGATGGTGTGGGGGGCCATGCAAAAATGGATCTTTTCGGGGCTCCTGGATGGCTCAGTCGGTTAAGCATCTGACTTCAGCTCAGGTCATCATCTCACAGCTTGTGGGTTCGAGTCCCGCATCAGGCTCTGTGCTGACAGCTCGGAGCCTGGAGCCTGCTTCGGATTCTGTGTCTCCTTCTCTCTCTGCCCCTCCCCCCGTCTCTCTCAAAAACAAATAAACATTTAAAAAAAGAAAAAAAGAAAAAAAAAGGAAATGGATCTTTCCCCCCACCGGTTTTATGCTCACACGGGAAGGGCAGGTACACCCAGCACAGGGGGCGAAAGGACATTTGTTTAGTGCGGTGGTTTCCCGTGGCTGCCGTAACAGGGTGGCACAAGCACGGTGGCTGCAAACAACAGAAACGCATTCCCTCCCGGTTCTGGAGGCCAGAGGTCCAAAGCCACGGTGTTGCAAGACTACGCTGCCTCCGGATTCTCCAGGGGAGACTCTGTTCTTTGACTCCACCAGCGTCTGGCGGCTGCTGGCATTTCTTGGCTTATGGTGCGTTACTCCAGCCTCTGCCTCTGGGGTCACCCCGCCTCCTCTTCTCCCTGTGACTTCTCTTTTTCTGTGTCTTATCGGGACACATTGGGTTTAGGGCCCACTGGGTAATCCAGGATGATCTCATCTAAACATCCTTAAATTAACTACATTTGCAAAGACCCTTTTTCCAAATTACGTCCCATTCACAGGTTCTAGGAACTTGGATGTGGACCTATCTTTTTGGGCACAACCACTGAACCCACTACACCCAGGTACAGGTTCTATACCCGATGCCCTTAGTCCCTTCAAGAAGGTCAGAGGCCACGCTACAAGGCAAACAAACCGAGTTGATAATCTAGGCTGCTAGATAAAGTTTTCCAGAAGAGAGGGGGAGTTGAATACCTTGTTTCTTAGACGTTTCAATTTATTTCTCTAGGTGAGACAAAAGCATTCATCTGAGTGAGCCTGTGTAGGAACAATGTCTTATATCGGGGGATCAGTGACACAGTGAGAGCTAGAGGTTTGGGACGGAGGTCCTTCACCTCCTTTTTTTTTTTTAAGTTTATTTATTTATTTTGAGAGAGACAGTGAGCAGGGGAGGGGCAGAGAGAGGCAGAGAGAGGCAGAAAGAGTGAGAATCCCAAGCAGGCTCAGCACCATCAGCGCAGAGAATCATGTGGGGCTGGAACTCACGAATCACAAGATCATGACCTGAGCCTAAATCAAGAGTCAGACTCTTGATGCTTAACTGACTGAGCCACCCAGGCGCCCCTCCTTCACCTACTGTTGTGTGGCCTTGGGTAATTCAGCCACTCCAACGTTTGGCTTTCTCACCTAAAAAAAAAGGGCAATAGCAATACCCACATCTGAGGGTTGTTGCAATGCATGTAGAGACTCTGTGTTGTGTTGTTCTTTTAAGATTTTATTTTCAAGTAATCTCTACACATGACGTGGGACTCCAACCCACAGCCCCGAGACCAAGAGTCGCGTGCTCCACCGACGGGGCCAGCCAGGTATCCCTACTACTTTGTATTTAGAAAACACTTCCACATGCACTATGGATTTGTTCCAGGTGCAAACAAGACTGTGGACCGTGTTATTATTTCTATTTTTGCAGGCGAGGAAACAGACAAGTAATGTGCTATTACATGAACTTCGAGCCAGACACTCCAGCATTAGACTCCGTGTTCCTTCTACCCCATGGTTCTCTCCCCTTCCAGGTGGCTCAGTTGGCAGCCTGCTGAGGGCAAGCTCATTCATCGCCGTGGAGGATACAGGAGCGTGGGGGAGAGGACCGAACAACAGGGAGGTGGGAAGACACTAAAGAAGTTCCTAATGTTGCCACAACCATCTTTGAAGTTGTGTTGCTCTGTGTTTGGGTGTCTGACCGCCATCTGACGCCATGGCCATTGAACTCTAATCCCGTTGGAGATCTGTGAATGAAGAGTGTGCCTCAGACCCCAAATAGTTGTTTCCTTTAGCCACAGACCCAAAGAGATATTTTCATTGGCACGCTTTATGAGTTATTAGAATAATTCTTCTCACTGTTAACATCTATGGCAGCGCCTGACTCACAGAAAAGTGCTCCGTGAATATTTGTTGAATGCTCAGTCGACGTCGGTATTTTATTTTCATTAAAGCGTTTCTGATCACGCAGAGCGAGTGTTGAGTGAGGAAGGCGTTTTAGGGTGACTCACCACAAAGGGTGGATAAATGAGTGCAGCTGGGTCTGCCTTTCTATACCGCTCATCATGCAAGTGTTGGCTTTGCCTATTGTTCCAGGACACATTTCTGTCACCGTGGATTCCTCCAACATGAGTGAAAAATTGGAATGACAGTATCAGAAGGTCTAGGGACATCTGTCTGTCACAAAGGAAGCATGGTAGCTGCCAACCCATTGTTTAGAAGAATCCAGGGAATGGCTCCAGGTCAAGAGTGGATGAGGTCAGTGTCGCTTTCCATCTGGGATGGGCTGGATGGGCCATGGGGAGCTGCCTTCCCAGATGGGCTACTCATGGGGTGTGTTAATTTCCTAGGGAGGCTGTAACAAATTACCTCAAACTGGGTGGCTTAAAACAACAGAAATTTATTTTTCATAGTTCTGGAGACAACACATCTGAAACCAAGGTGTTGGCAGGTATACCTCCCTCTGAAGGCTCAAGGGGAACCTTCCAGCTTCTTCAGCTTCCTGTGGTTTCCAAGGGTTCCTTGGCTTGTGGCTACATCACTCCGACCTGCCTGTGTCTTCATATGGCCTTCCCCACCCCCCCCACCCCCATGTTTCTCTTCTTCTCTTTTTACAAGAACACTTGTTATGGGATTTAGAGTCCCATTAATCCAGGATGATCTTGTCTTGAGGTCCTTAACTCACTTACACCTGTAAATACCCTTTTTCCACATAAGCTCACCTTCACAGGGATTGGGGGTAAGGACTTGGACTTCCTCTTTTGTGGGCCTCAGTTCAACCCATTAGAGTTGGGGCTGGCTCCCGTTTCTGAAGGCGATGCTGATAAAACAATTGTGGAGGGATTCCCAGTCGATTCCAAGCATACTCCTTATTTCCTACTTAAAAGAGGAAATGTTCAATTTAATTTTGTGCATGTAGAAATTCGTTTTTTTTTTTTTCAACGTTTATTTATTTTTGGCACAGAGAGAGACAGAGCATGAACGGGGGAGGGGCAGAGAGAGAGGGAGACACAGAATCGGAAACAGGCTCCAGGCTCTGAGCCATCAGCCCAGAGCCCAACGCGGGGCTCGAACTCACGGACCGCGAGATCGTGACCTGGCTGAAGTCGGACGCTTAACCGACTGCGCCACCCAGGCGCCCCTAGAAATTCGTTTTAATTTCAGAGAAGGTGACTATCATGAGATCTTGTGATTTTTGACAACTTCCCCAGAAAGATTTTGGATTCTGGATCACCAGAGGAATTTTCTCAGGAGCCAACTTCACATCTTTAAATTCCTTTTCTTCTACATATTAGAAAATCCCTTCCAGCATCTAACACATCACCTTATACTTAAAAAAATACACTGACTTTTAAATTCACTCAGTTCTATTTTTATTAGAAATAATTGACTAGCTCCAAACACGTTCTCATGGAAGGTAAATGAGACATTTCTATCATTTTGAAAAGACACAATAAATGTATTTTATCAAAATGTTTTCATATAGAAAATAAGATCAGGAGGTCATCTGAAAGAGGGCAGATGGATAGGAACGAAAGATCCTTGTGAAGTTATTAGCCATTTAAATCCAATTAATTTAGACCTTCTTCCTGGGAACATCACACTTATGAGGAAGATGTCAACCAATTCCTAATCAAAGCTGGATAATTAAATATCCAAAGAATTAGTTCATGTTTACTTTTATTTTCCCTAGGGGACAAAATCCTCATCTCTAGAAACACGTAAATTCTTTTATTATGACCCCATTGGTCGCAGCATGATTTGTAATTCAAAAATTTAGAAGCATCCTAAATATCCATCTGCAGGAAAAGAGTTAAGTAAATAATGGTCTGGTCATGGTCTAGTGCTCCACACCAGCTACAGAGATATACTGGAGCTCCACGCTCAGTGAGGAAGAATCTCCCAGTGGAGGG